GGCGTTAAGATTCATGAGAGCCTTCCCAGCCTGTATACGAGGTGTGGGTGATAGGATCACTCCCTGTTTCATGTTAACAGGTATCGCGGGAAGAGGTGCAAGGCGGATTGGAGGTGAGTTTGGTGCCACGTATATAGGATTTTGGCTATAGATAATTTGTTGTTGTTGTTGTTGTTGTTGATGTTGTTGAAGTTGTTGATGTTGTTGTTGTGCTAAAGCCAAACGTTGCATTTTCTGTTGAAGTAATAAATCATCACGGCCTAAAGTTGAGCCATCCTCATCATCAAATCCATAGGAATAAAGTTGATCATCACTTGGAGTATAATTATGAATTATATTATTAGTCACTGAAGTATAAGGTGCTTTGGAATGATTCAAGTCATCCGCTGATGAAGAATTATATAAAACTTTATGATGTCCTAATTCACCATTTGTTGAGTTGTTATTAGGTCCTTTATGACGTACTGGCTCATTAGACATTTTAGGGTATGATGATGGTATATATTGAGGATCCGTATCGGTAATGATTTTTAATGAATTTTGAGATGGACGACTAGAATGACCGGAATAATTAGAACTTCTATCGATGTGATCACGATCACTTGGATTTAAATATACTGCTGTTCCAATTTCACGGTCATCTGAGATATAAGTGTCTGCATAAATTTCTGCTGCATCTTCTTCAGGTGATTTAGCTCGTTGAAAAGTTGGTGAAACATTGGAATGAGCTGATGATTGACCGTTTGAAGATTGTTGTTGTTGTTGTTGATCAAAAACATTTGTAACCCTTATACCTTCTTCTACTTGAAAATCACTATCAGCTCCCCATAAACAAAACTTTATACAAAGTTGATGATTAATGCTGATATAACGACCGGAATAAGTTGGTTGAACGTTACGCGGAACAAATAGATTAATAGTATGTGAGCATTCACTTTCATATTGATCAGATGATGGTTGATTTGTATATCTAAGTCCTTGACGTGGAACTAATAAAGATGTTGCAATTTCTTTGACATGACGTGTCTCGGTTGGAATACTACATCTAAAATCCATACAAGTTTTTATGGCAATTTCAATTCTTTCAACACTTACT